CGGGCGTGAAAGGCGCTCCTCCCCCAACCTCCGCGGTTGCCATGGAGGCCCGCCGGACCGAGTCGTAGCCAGGGCCGTGATTGGTGCGGAACCTGCTAATCCTGAGGCCAGGGCGGCGTGAGGGAGAGGGCGGGAGGCATGCGCGGTCGGGAGGCAGCGCTGCTGTCCGGGGCCCCGAGAAGCTTGCGCAGATCGACGGGGGCCCCGATGACTGGGTCAGAGGCGGGGAGCGCGGGAAGAGGCGGCCGGGAGTGTGACCGGGCCGTTGGGAATAAGGCCACCCCGGGGAACAGGGTGCAAACAGGCGAGGGTTGGGGAAGGGCAAGGAGGCGCTGCGGCTGCCGCACGGAGCGTTCCGAGACACGGCCCGGCCGGGGAGGGCAGGTCGGCGAGCGCACGGGCTCGGGAGAGCGGGAGCGGCCCACTGAGCCGAGGTGAGGGCGGAGGCCTCTGCACCGGGAAGGCTTGGGCGGGGACCGGGCGGCGGCTCGGACTCGTGGGGTCCGGCTGCCCTGCGGAACGGAGAACGCAGGACCGGGCCCTGGGCACACTCCCTGCAGGCGAGCCCGGCGCTGTCGCCGGCGGCCCGTCAGTCCCTGCGCATCGCCCGGGCCACAGGCTCTAGGAGCCCCGCCCCCGGTTGCCATGGCCGCGCCCGGACCTGCGGAGCTCCCTAAAGCGGAAGTTACCAGCCAAAACTTCTGGTAAATGTGGTTCAGGAGCCTCCGCGGGGCCCTACTTTCTCCGAGTTTCGGGCTGACCTGGAGCCTCGGGGAGCGGAAGGCTGGCTCACGGGATTGGGCGGCGGCCTTCGAAATCGAATGCGCTCGCTTATGGGTTCCTTCTCAAAGCCCGCGTCTTACAGCTGCGGGAGCAGCGGAGTGGGCGGGGTCGTTCTTATTTGCATGTGAGGAAACTAAGATTCACAGAGACACAGCGACCTGCCAAGGTTACGTGGCAAATAGGCGAGACCAGACTCCCGGTCCAGTGGTCGCAGTACCTTTATGGCCCCTGGAAGCTCCCCCATCACCTCCTAGGCCCACCTAAGTCAGGAACCTGAGGAGGCGATGATTTGCATGGTGTGATAGGTAGGGCCCAGAGGATGGGGCTGAATTGGGCAAGGATGCCACCTGGTGGCTGAGCCACGCACATGACTTTGCACAGGTGATAGGGGATGCAGGGAAACTGCCTTGTGGAACCAAGATGGCAGGGGAACGGTCTGAGACCGCGTGGAAGAGTGTATGGCCCAATAATGGGCTGGCATGGGGGGATGGTAGTGGTGCTGATGCCCAGGTGGTGGGTCTTGTAGGTGTCATTCACCTGTGAGGGGGAGAGCTGCAGGGCAGGGATGAGGTGGTGAACAGAAGAGCAGGACTTAGGGGAGAGAAGTGACTTCTGAGCCTAAGAATTCTTTGGGGCTGGGGCTACCAGACACTCTGTAGACCCAGCCAGAGAGACCAGGGTCAGGCGGCTCATCCAGGGCTTACCAGCCCCACAGGTCCCTGGCCTGTGATCACCTCTCTGTGCTTCAGTGTCCTCATCAGCCTTGTCCCCAGGCAGGTCTGAGGATAGGACAGCAGAGCATATGGTAGGCACTCAATAAGCATCCACTCCACTGTCCCATTTGTACCCCAGGGTCAGACACTAGCCTTAGAGCCCAGGCCATCTTTCCAATGAGGCCCACAGCACTGGGCTCCCCAGGGCATGCAGTCCTGGAAAACAAGAGACCCATCACGGTGAAGTTGGAGGACTCTGAGGAGGAGGAGGCCACCCCATGGGATCCCGGCCCCGAGGCTGCACGCCAGTGTTTCTGGCATTTCCGCTACGAGGAGGCAGCGGGGCCCCAAGAGGCCCTGACTCTGCTCCGGAAGCTGTGCCGCCAGTGGCTGCGGCCCGAAGTGCACTCCAAGGAGCAGATGCTGGAGCTATTGGTGCTGGAGCAGTTCCTGGCCACACTGCCCCCTGAGGTCCAGGCACGAGTGCGGGGGCAGCAGCCAAGCAGCCCTGAGGAAGCCGTGGCCCTGGTCGAAGGGCTGCATCAGGAGTCAGGAGGACCCCGGAGATGGGTGAGTCAGTTGCCCTGAGTAGGTATCAGGGTTAACCTGGGCGGTGCCATGCTCAGCTAGACACTTGTCCCTTGTGGTGTGGAAGTAGTCACCTGCAGCAGGCCCTATGTGAGGGTCATGCACACAGGGAGGGATGCAGGGTGGGTGTCAACACAGGGGAGCAACTGTAAAAGGTCCCTTCACCCCCTACTCATTCCCTGGGGGATGGGATCCCTAGACCTAGTCAGTCAGAACCCCTGGAGTCCTGCAATGGGGTCCAGCCAACTCCCTGCCTGGGCCCCTGATGGAGAGGGAGCACCTCCCCAGGTCACAGTCCAGGTGCAGGGCCAGGAGGTACTATCAGAGAAGATGGAGCCTTCCGACTTCCAGCCCCTCCCTCAAACCAAGCCTCGGAATACAGAACCTGGGCCTGAGACAACCTTTGGGGCCATGCAGAGGTCACCACTGAGCCTTCAGGTGAAAGAGGAGCCCGAGGTTACAGAGGACACAGGTGAGGACAAGCAAGGTAGGCAGGGCCCAAGGCCTAATTGGATGGACCACAGGAGCCTGGCCTGAACAGCCTAAAGCCCACTAGGCCGGTCACCTAATGGATGGAACCATTCCCAAGCACTGGGGCCCCCATCCCACCCAGCCAGCAGCTGTCACAAACCCTAGGACACCAATCCTGACTGTCACAGTTTTCCCATGCTCTCCCCTGGCAAGAAACAAGCTGCTGGGGTTTCCATGTGTGGGAGGCATATGGGGTTCATTCCCCAAGGAGATCCATTGGGGACGTCAGCCAGACACTGGGGAGCAGACAGCAGGCTGGGGTATGGGTGGGTGCAGATGAGGGAGAACACCAAAGTGTTGGAGGCCTGCCCCTCCCTTGTATGCCTCCTAGGCAGGTACCACAGCTGACCACCTATTCCACCACTCCAGTGTGGTCCCTTGAGAGATGCCCTTCTCCTGCCCTCACTGCCCATATCCCAGGTCTGATGCAGACATGCAGGGCACAGGCCTGAGCCGCCACCTCCTGCCACAGCTCCTTCTTGGCCTTCCAGGGGCCATCCTTTGCTCCATCCTTGAGCTGGGCCCTTGGGAGCTACCCTGCCATGCCCAGCCCCAAGCCAGCACTTAGCTCTCACCCCACCCAAATCCTAGCATCTGGCACACCACTGAGGAGGGCAGTGGGGTGGGGACAACCTTGGGCCACCTAACCCTATCCTTCCTCTCCAGAGTTCCTGGATTCTGGGCCTCTAGCAAGCCCCCATGAGGCCACTTCCACTTTCCTGCCTGAGGAGGCCCAGGTGAGCCACACACAAGCTAGGAGCCTTCATGGGTGGTCAGGTAGGTCCCTCCTGGGCCTAGCAGGGCAGACAAGCAGGGACCACTGTGGTTTCAGGGCTGTGGGATGTTGCTGGACCAGGCCTCTCCCCACAGCAAGACTGGGCCTGAGTGTCCCTCATGGAGCGAACACACTGGGGCCCTGTGGCAAGAGGAAGCTGGAAGCATGTTCTCCCCAGGTGAGTAAGACGGGCATGGTGGGGCTGCGTCCTCTGCAGTAACATATCTGCCTACTCCATTCCTAGCCCTGCTCCCCTATTCCCTGAACCATCCCTTGCAGTGTCAACCTTCAGCATCTCCTGGCCTCAAAAACTAAGCTCTCCACTGACCTCATACCCCTCCAGCTGCTACTCCCCACCACAGTGACACCTTTCAAGATGACCCTATGTTTCCCAAATCCACACCTCCCAGTGGCACCTAAACTCTGGGTGTCAGCATAGGGAGGGTCAGGAATAGCAAGGAGAGCAGATTAGTAGATGGGGTAGGTGGGTAGAAGGGGCGTTGATAGTGAGGATCAGGCAGGACAGCAGAATTCTGACCAATCATCCTGGGTGACTCAGCCCTACGCTGGACATAACCCTGGTCTCTCTTCCTCCGTTCCCTGGACCCCTCCTTCTTGGTGGTGGATCTTCCTCTGAACTCTGGTGTTCTGAGACATCTGAGACTGAAGTTTGGCTGGATAAAGAATTCATTTTAATAACTCAGTCACAAACATTTTTTATCACATTGTTGGTGAGCCTTTTCCATTTGGAAAGTACATTCAGTCTTGGGAAACTGCCTGGAATGGTTTATTTCCTTCATTATTTTGTTCTGATTTCTAGAATGCCTGCTCCTTGGCTGTTAGTCCTCTAACGTTCTTTTCACACCAATCTTCCATCCCTTTGTGTTCTGTTGTCCAGAGAAGTTCGTCAGCTGTACCTTTCAGACCTTCTGTTGAGATATTCATATCTGCTAGCATACTTTTAACTTTCCAGGGGTGTTTCACTCCCTGAACATTCATTTTTTATAGCTACTTCCTTACAGTTATAATGTCCTTCCTTATTTCTCTGAGAATAGCAATAATTTGTTTAAGTTTTCTTCTCTCAGTATGGTCTCTTGCCTCTAAGTTGTCTGCTTATGTGTAAGATGGGAGACCACCAATCTGGCATCTCTAAGCAGGTGGGTGATGGGCTGGGAAGGACTTGGGGGATCACTCTCCAAGTAGACCCACATCTTGGGGTATGTGAGTGGGTGGGGAGAGTATGTGCCAGTGAAGGATCTATAGGGTACTCTGGCTGGGCTGTTTGGGGCATCCCTTGCTGTGAGCCTCTTCAGGTCTTTCCCAAGCCCTCCAAGAAGGCCCTTCCAGCCTTTTGCCAGTATCCTGGGAGAAAGGCTGCTGTCTCAGCACAGTGACTCCACTTAATCCCCCAACTTCCTCAGTGTGGTCTCCTGCCTCAACCCAGACTTTTGCCAAGATGGGAGGAGACCCAGAATCCAGGCTACAGCAGTGCCCACCATTTGCTCAGTATTCTGTGCAGACAGAACCCAGGCCTGGTCCGTGTGGTCGCCCTGACCAGCTTCTGCTTCCAAAACAGCCTCCCCCACCTGCGTGGCACCCCTACCCCTGCACAGCCAGAGGTACCCAGCATGTCTGACTCCTAAACTTTCTGAGTCTTCTTTGGGGTAAAACACATTGATTTTTATTTTTTTGTTTCCCCACTGCTGATTTAGTATTCACCTTCTCCAACAGACTACACAGTCACCTGACCATCTGCTTTCCAGAGTAGACAATGTCAGGGGCCTATTTGTTTCCTCTTCATCTTTGGGGATTTTTTGCCTTTTAAAAAAAACTTGTCTTATTGCTGTTTCAGAATGGAACAAACTTAAATACTATAGATGCCATTGTTTCCCATAAGTCACCATTTGCTGTGTTATCAATAAGGATCCTAATTTATTCTTTTTCCATAATGTCTCACAAATGCTGGTCCCTTCTTTGAGGATTTGGAAGTAATTTAGTTTCCCTCCAAGACTGGTCATTTAGCTCCATTTGCTTGGCTGTGAGTTCTCCCACTGGCAGCTTGCCCGTTTGGGCTGTAGGAACTTGTTTGTCCATGAACTAAGCATCAACCCTAGCTGAGGGACAGCCACAGGGTCCTTCAAAACCCTAAAGTGAAGGTTCATCTGGACCCCAGGCCATTCAAGGAAGATACCTCTGCAGCTCAGCCAAAAGCAAGCAGGTCATTCCTGCCCAGGTCTGGGGGTGGTATGGACTGACCCAGCCCTTACTTATCCTCAGCCCCCAGCTTCAGTCCCTGCGATTTAGAGCTCACTCTACCAGGCTGTAGATCCCTGAATCTTACCAGCTGGCCTTTCTTATTGGAGTTGCCCAAGGTATTTTTAAATAATGTTCTGCATGTTGGAGCGGAGAGCAGGATCTGGCACGTGGCCCTCTGCTATTTAGTTTTTAGCTGCCAGCCAGTCCCAACCTGTGCCATGTGGCTGACTACTCCCTCCAGCTGGGGCCTGCTCCTCAGTTCACAACCCTTCTTTCCCTAGCCACACTGGCAGTACCACCTTGGGTTCCCCGGTGGGTTCCTTCTTTGCTGCTCCTTTCCCTCCTCAGGCTCCACTCCCTATAGACAACCACAGCTCCCATCTTCAAACACTAATCCCTCAGTCACCTTGGTCCCCCCATCAGGTCTCTTGGCTGCTCCCCTTGTACCTCAACTGAACATTTTCTGTGTAGCCTGTGTTTTCATCATGAGAATATTCTGAACTAATGCACCTGTTAGAAAATTCAAAAGGCACGGAGGGAATACACAGTGAATGTCCCTCCCTGCTCCCTCGCAGCCAGCATTACCAGTTTGTGTCCTTCGAGAGCATGTGTGTACAACAGCAAACACAACCAAATGCATGCTCATTTCCTTTCTTTACAGCATCCTGCTCCACACTTGACATTCCCTATGTAGCAAGTGCCCTGTCCTTGGACAGCTGCAGAGCCCCACTGCATATACACTATTGTTTGTCCATCCAGGCTCCTGCTGTTTCTTTGGGTTCCTTTTCAGTGAAGAACTGAGAAACCTCATATGTAGCTCACTTCACACAGGGAGAAACACAATTATTAGACAAGTACCTAAAGAATTGCTGGATCAAAGTGTGGGAAATTTGCCATTTTGATGTATCTTGCAATACTGACTTCCCATTTATGTTCACCAGCAACGCACACAAATGCCTGGGTCCCTGCAGTGAGGGTGTGGAAGTCACAGGTGAGCATAGCTCTTATGTACAGTGTTCTTCCTGGGAAAGGACTATGCATATTTTATGGGATTTAAGTGAAATTTCCTATCCTGTCCACATCCTTTGCCCACATTGGTCAGGTTGTTGGTCTTCCTCGTTGGTTTATCGGAATTCTTAGGTAGTTAATTAGACCTTTGCCCCTGGAGAGTTTCTCATTTGTTTTTTTGACTCTTAAGTTACTTTTGCTGTGCATAACTTATTTCCTTTGATATAATTTATCTGCCTTTCCATAACTTAGGATTTTTCTGTCACCCTTTGAAGCCACTGCTATGTCCCCTTGATTTTACTTCCTCTGGGCTTCCTATTCAGCCCTGCTTCTCAGTGGCCTTTGCTTGCACCTACTCGGTCGCCCAGCATCTACTGCTGAGCTCACAATGTGGCTGGGGACTGCTCCTTTTCTCCAGACACCCCTCCACCCCACCCTGTGTGATCTCATGCAGGCCCAGGGCTCCATATGCCATGCATGTCACAGCACCCACGTTCATGTTTCTATGAAGACTGGGCCCGAATCCTGCACCCCACAGCCTGCATGTACTCACTGTCCCTTGGATGCCCCATAGGCACTGAGCAAGGCACATCAGACCCACCCACTTCTGTGCATTTGTGGAAATCACTCTCACCTACCTGGACAGTGCAAGAGCCACCTTGCACTAAAGCCCTTCTAAAAAGGTGATTTTATTTTTTCTGCAAACTTCAGTAGGACCTGGGAAGCTTGTCCCAAGCTTCTAAGTCTTCCTCTTCATGCAAGATTCTGTCCGCCCCCCATCCCCTCCTGGGCAGGCCTGCACAGATACAGTCCCTGTCCTTTCCTCTGCCCTTCTGTTTCCCTACTTGGTCGCTGTCAGGAGCCTCCAGTTCACACTGCTTACCCAGGGCTGGAATTCTCCAGGCATACAGTGGGTTCTGTCACGAAGGAGTGGATCCCTTTGTGCAATGCAGGGTTTGCGCTCCAGGTGGACAGCATCTCTGCTAGCCCGGACACTGTGAGCTCCCACCTCCACATCCCCTGGGAGTTCCGTGTGGCTGGCCTCAAGGGCCAACTCCAGTCACCCTCCCAAGAAGGTGGCTTCTCACATACGCTCGTGCTCCCCAGCGACCCGAGAGGTGACCAGGACTGCACAGACCAGGATCTCCGCCAGGACGCGGGCCACATAATGGCCACTGCCCACTGGCCAGCCCCCAGGGGTCGGAGCCAAGGCCGAGGCCGTCCCAGCACAGGCGCCGGGGCAGTGAGAGGTGGCCGTTGTGATGTGTGTGGAAAGGTGTTCAGCCAACGCAGCAACCTGCTGCGGCACCAGAAGATACACACAGGAGAGCGTCCGTTTGTGTGTGGCGAGTGCGGCCGCAGCTTCAGCCGCAGCTCACACTTGTTACGCCACCAGCTCACGCACACTGAGGAGCGGCCATTCGTCTGCGGTGACTGCGGCCAGGGCTTCGTGCGCAGTGCACGCTTGGAGGAACACCGGCGCGTGCACACGGGCGAGCAGCCCTTCCACTGCGCTGACTGTGGCCAGAGCTTCCGGCAGCGCTCCAACCTGCTGCAGCACCGGCGCATCCACGGCGACCCTCCAGGCCCCGGAGCTGGGCCCCCCACGCCTCCCAGTGCGCCCGAGCACCCAGGCCCCTTCCCATGCAGTGAGTGCTGCAAGAGTTTTGCACGCCGTGCCGTGCTGCTGGAGCACCAGGCCGTGCACACGGGTGACAAATCCTTCAGCTGCGTGGAGTGCGGTGAACGCTTTGGCCGCCGCTCAGTGCTGCTGCAGCACCGGCGAGTGCACAGCGGCGAGCGGCCCTTCTCCTGCACCGAGTGTGGCCAGAGCTTCCGGCAGCGCTCTAACCTCACGCAGCACCGGCGCATCCACACTGGCGAGCGTCCCTTCGCCTGCGCGGAATGTGGCAAGGCCTTCCGCCAGCGGCCTACGCTCACACAGCACCTGCGTGTACACACTGGGGAGAAGCCCTTTGCCTGCCCTGAGTGCGGCCAGCGATTCAGCCAGCGTCTCAAGCTCACGCGACACCAGCGGACGCACACTGGCGAGAAGCCCTACCACTGCGGTGAGTGCGGCCTGGGCTTCACGCAGGTATCCCGGCTCACAGAGCACCAGCGCATCCACACTGGCGAGCGGCCCTTCGCCTGCCCCGAGTGTGGCCAGAGCTTCCGGCAGCACGCCAACCTCACACAACACCGGCGCATCCACACAGGCGAACGGCCCTATGCCTGCCCTGAGTGTGGCAAGGCCTTCCGCCAGCGACCCACACTCACTCAGCACCTGCGTACCCACCGGCGCGAGAAGCCCTTCGCCTGCCAGGACTGTGGCCGGCGCTTCCACCAGAGCACCAAGCTCATCCAGCATCAGCGCGTCCACAGTGTAGATTAGCCAGCACTCACTGACCCCGTGTGTGCGTGCACCTCGGTCCTCTGTGCGTGGGAAGAGGGGGACATAACACCTACCTCACAGGGTTGTTGTGAGGCCTGCCATTGCATAGGCACAAGCAGGCCCGACTCAGGGCCTGACGCCCCAGCAGATGCTCAATAAAACAGAAGGAACCTGGGTCTGGGTCTCCACACACGCAATGCAGCCCCACCTGCGTGGGTCCCTCTATGACATCCGCACATATCCACCACTTCCACTGCAACTTCGTGGTTCCTGAGAGCCATGACTCCCTGAAGAGGTGACTCCTGGCAGCACCTGTCACCTGAGTTGGGTGCCCCCTCTTGTTTTGATTCCTGTATAGTTTGTCTTCAACGCACACATCCATGGGCCAAGCCAACTGCCAGGAGAGGACCTGGTTCTCCCTAGCCAGCAAAGACCATCGGATGCGATAGAAGTAGCAAACTGGTGCCCAGCAGGCCAGATATGGCCTGGGATGTGTTTGTAAAACTTTAAACCTGGGAAGACATTCATTAGGCATAAGGGTTGGAAGGTTTTATCCAGAAACAGGCATTCTTTCAGGACTTTCCCCCATTCTCGCACGTTTACCACCAACAGGTGCTGAGTGTGGGACCCCTTCTGATAGAACTCAAGCCAGTCTGGGAACAGAGGTCAGTGGCAGGCCCAGGGCCAGTTCCCCAGCCCTCTAGTGATTATTCCCATCCCATGCGCTGTATTCTCCTCCCACCCTGGACCCATGCACACTGGGAGGTCTCCATGAGGAGTGTTTTCACTGGCAAATCACAGGAAACATCCTGGCGGGTCCAGCATCCTGCATCCTTGAGGGTCAGCCCTTTTCCCATGGCACTGCCTCTTTTGCCCTAGCTATCTTTCCCTTCCATCCCATTGTCTAGGCCCTTGACATAGCCCCCACCACATAAGAGGGGATGCCAGAAACATGGGTTGAATGGCAGTGCCAAACAACAGATCTTCATGCAACAGGGTCTCTGACTTGGGACCTAATCACACTCTGGGCCCATGTCGGCAGCCTGCCTTTGGCCTGGAGGTTCCACGCCTGTGAGACTTTTATAAACAGAAATAAAGAGAACAAGAAAGCTCTCATGTTTTGAAGCCTATGTGTCCAAGCTTCTTCCAGAGGTGCAGTTGGACTTTCTTCTACTACTTTGAGTCACCCTCATCTACCCCCGCCCCCCGCGCACACACTCACACACACACACACAACTGGAGGTCTGGTATCAGGGAAAGAAGACAAGCCAGCCTGTGCCAATGGCTTCTCACTACCATGCTAGAAAAGGCATGTTCCCTGCCCTCACCCTCTTTCTCCTCTCCATTACTCCTCCCCTCTCCCCAGCCAGGACCAGGGCCACTCTGGCATCCTCCACATCTGGCAAAGTCAGCAGCTCTCCAGGAAGGGGCACTCCTGAATGGCACAGTCAGGGAGGGGAGTGTCCCCTGGGCCCTGTGACAAAACTCACTGTCCTCTCAGACCACAAAGGGGACTCTGAGGACCCTGGTCTGGGACCTGCAGAATTAAAAGAGAAGGTGGTCAATGGGCCCCTAGACAGAAGCTAGGAGAGTCAGGTAACGGAAGGCACTGGAACACTGAGGTGGCCAGTGCTCTCAGGTTGAAGGAATGTTGCTAGAACTTTATAAATCCTGTAAGAGATTTTACAAGCCTGTGTAACTTTTATAATCAGAAATAAAGAGAACAAGAAAGCCCTCATGTTTTGCTCACGTTAGTGTTGTGAAGAATATGAAGGAACATCTGTACAAACACAACTACATAAAAATACAAAATTCCACTCAAAAAAATTACAACATGAAAGGCCAGGGTCCCAAACATGAAGCCTTGAGAAGTGTATAGACCCACCTGCCAAACCAGCCTTCCAAGAAGAAACGTGAAGAGCGATGTGAGAGCCACCCCTGAAAGAAAATTTCTGCAATTGGCTGGAGATACAAGCCGGCGGTGAGAACCCAAGTGTTACCGTACTGTCAGCAAGGCTGAGGGCCTGGACAGAATGACCACTTAGCCACATTTGGCCGGAGCCAAAAGAGGAACCCAGGAGAAGAAAGTCCAAGGCAATGGTCAACTGGTGGAAGCTACAATGCCCAGCCAGCCTGTCCCTGGATCATCTGTGCCTGAGCCCATAGGTCACTCCCAAGCCCAGCCTTCCCATGCCACATCCATCCAGTTATTCCAACCCCAACCCAGCTTCCCAAATCTGTCCACTTCTCTCCCCATTACTGCTGATTCCAGCAGCAAATCTCCACTCTGGAAGTACACAGCACTTAGCCACCTTTCCCTTCCTACTCCTGCCCCTGCCATCCCAAAATGGAAACTATCTTTCCAGTGCCAGCTCCCAGGGGCTACACTAACAGCCCCCAGATGTACTTCCACCCTCACTCCTCACCCGTCATGTTCTGCCCAATCCCTCCAAAGCTCTGACCCCAGCTTCCCTCAGGGCCTTTGCATATGCCAAGCCCTGTGCTGTCTCCCAAGAGGCTGCAGGCCCAGGGGTTACAGGCTCCCTCAACACAAAAACCACCTTTGCTCCTCTGTCACTTGGGTGGCCACAGGGGGACAAGTCACAGCTGCACCATTGCCAATCCAGCCCCCTGCCTCAGTTCGGCCATCCTCTCCCTCCTTGGTCCAGCCTCCATGGCTTCCATTTCCCAGCATTTTTTGCAAAGTTAAGTCTAAGACGTTAGAGACCACGCAAGTCCAGCTTTCGCCAATCCAGCGTCACCTCTCCAAAAAACCTATACCCTATGCCTGGATGAGCCCTCAGCTGATGGGCCTCAGCAACTGGCCTGAAGATGGACACATGGGGCAGGCTGGCGAAAAGGATGGTAATCAAGCCTCGTTGGAGACATCTTTTACAAAAGTAACCAGCAAGAGCAGAGCAGTTGACAAGAAAGGCAAGGAAGGATTAGAGAAAGACAGAGCTGAGTCTGGAAGGCCCCCTGACTCCCAGGACCAGTCACATCTAAAGCCTGAGAACGCTGGCATGGCTGCAAGTATGTCAGTCCCAAACCTGACCTCTTCGAGGCTTCTGAGGCCCCATCCTCACCTCAGCACATCTCCAGCAATCAGCTCTCTTGGGACTCAAGAAAGAATGCTGGGAATGTAAGGCTAGGACAGCCAAGGGGTTGAAGGGGGCATGCGGATTGGCAGCATTGAGGATGGAAAGGCCGGAAGGGGGAGCAGTTACAGAAATACAGCTGGGCCCAGTCCACGGAGCCCAGGAACGCCAAGGGTACCTGGCACTCCCACGGCAGAGCCTCCGCGGAGGCTGGGATCGGGAAGGACACCAGACCACGATCGGATGAGGTGGAGGCGACTCGCTGGGTTGAGGAAGGTGGCTGGGGTGGACCCCAGGTCCGGTCCAAGGAGGCGCTGAGGATGAGAGGGCGTCAGGGTGACTCGCGGTGGTGAGAACCACGGGCCTGGGCAGGGGTCCACGGCGAAGAGCACGCCTGCCCGACCCCAGCGCGGCCCCAAGTAGACCATCCGAACTGCGTCTCCCACAATGCTCCGAACGGTTATCCCAAGTCTAGTCAATGGCCGGAGCGGACAAGCTGCGGGAGCCGCCCTCAGACGCAATAGGCCAGAGCGTCAGAACCCCCGCTGCCTACACCCGCCCTGCCCTCGAGACCTACCTCCTCCGCGGCCAGACGGTTCCCGCGGTAACAGCCGGAAACGCAGAACCGCCCAACGCCGTTTCCTCCCGCCCTCGGGAGAACGCTGAGCTGTGACTGGAGGAAAGGTTGGACCCGCCCACAACGTCCCGCGCGCCGCCGCTGGAACGCCGGACCCACGCCGAGAGCGGTCCCCCCCCCCAAGTTCCCCCAGCATAACTCTCCGTAATGCTGACCGCTCTGTGATACATGTTTTGTTTACCTCAAATAGAATCTCCGCGAGTGGGTTGTTGGGGTTTGCGATGGGACAGGAGGGTGCTCCACCCAGTATTCTCTAGACGATCCTGGCCTCATCCCAGGATCCGACCCGCCGCAGTCCCCATGCCTGTCTGTCACCTCTGGGACAAGAGCCTCATTTGACCAACCCACGCCGTGGTTTGCAGTAGGGCAATTGGGAATGGCTGGACCGCGAGCGGAGCGGCATGCATCTGCCCCACTTAAACATGGCGGCCGCACCGTACACTGCCTGGACCCACGGGTTCCCGGAAGTGACCGAGGGACGCCCCGCACGAGCGGAAATACTCGAGCCCAGCCGAAGGAGCCCGAAGTCTAAGCCCTAAAGCTGAGCAACGCTGGGCGGAGACGGCTGCGCAGGCGCACAGCGCAGGCCGGGCGGGAAGAGCCGAAGCTGACTGGAGGCGGAAATATCCGAAGTGGTGGGGCGCCCGAGGCCGTTGCGGACCTCCGCGCCGAAGCCGCTGCTGCCGCGGAAGCCGAGCCTTCTCCAGTACACGGCCGCCACCACTGCGGTCGCCACTGCCTCCTTCCACCTCAGAAGCCGCATCCTCTTCACGGAGGGAGCGAGTGAGCGGGCAGGCGGTGCGGCCCAGGGAGCCCGCAGCCGCAGCCGGGCCTGAGAGACCAGAGCGGGCGAGGGGGCGG